GCTGGTGGTGGTGATAGTGGTTGCTGGTGGTACTGGTGATAGTGGTTGCTGGTGGTACTGGTGAGAGTAGTTGCTGGTGGTAGTGATGATAGTGGTTGCTGGTGATACTGGTGATAGTGGTTGCTGGTGGTACTGGTGATAGTGGTTGCTGGTGGTACTGGTGAGAGTGGTTGCTGGTGGTACTGGTGATAGTGGTTGCTGGTTGTACTGGTGATAGTGGTTCCTGGTGGTGGTGGTGATAGTGGTTGCTGATGGTACTGATCATAGTGGTTGCTGGTGGTACTGGTGATAGTGGTTGCTGGTGGTACTGGTGATAGTGGTTGTTAGTGGTACTGGTGATAGTGGTTGCTGGTGGTACTGATGATAGTGGTTGCTGGTGGTACTGGTGATAGTGGTTGATGGGTGTACTGGTGACAGTGGTTGCTGGTGGTACTGATGATAGTGGTTGCTGGTTGTACTGGTGATAGTGGTTGCTGGTGGTAGTGATGATAGTGGTTGCTGGTGATACTGGTGATAGTGGTTGCTGGTGGTACTGGTGATAGTGGTTGCTGGTGGTACTGGTGATAGTGGTTGCTGGTGGTACTGGTGATAGTGGTTGCTGGTGGTACTGGTGAAAAGTGGTTGCTGTGGTAGTGATGATAGTGGTTGCTGGTGATACTGGTGATATGGTTGCTGGTGGTACTGGTGAGAGTGGTTGCTGTGTGGTAGTGTGAAGTGGTTGCTGGTGTACTGGTGATAGTGGTTGCTGGTGGTACTGGTGAGTAGTGGTTTGCTGATGGTACTGGATGAAGTGGTTGCTGGTGGTACTGGTGATAGTGGGTGCTGGTGGTACTGGTGAGAGTGGTTGCTGGTGGTACTGGTGAGAATGATTGCTGGTGGTACTGGTGATAGTGGGTGCTGGTGGTACTGGTGAGAGTGGTTGCTGGTGGTACTGGTGAGAATGATTGCTGGTGGTACTGGTGATAGTGGGTGCTGGTGGTACTGGTGAGAGTGGTTGCTGGGTACGTGAGAATGATTGCTGGTGGTACTGGTATAGTGGGTGCTGGTGGTACTGGTGAGAGTGGTTGCTGGTGGTACTGGTGAGATGGTTGCTGGTGGTACTGGTGATAGTGGTGCTGGTGGTACTGGTGAGAGTGGTTGCTGGTGGTACTGGTGAGAATGATTGCTGGTGGTACTGGTGATAGTGGGTGCTGGTGGTACTGGTGATAGTGGGTGCTGGTGGTACTGGTGAGAGTGGTTGCTGGTGGTACTGTGTGAAATGATTGCTGGTGGTACTGGTGATAGTGGGTGCTGGTGGTACTGGTGATAAGTGGGTGCTGGTGGTACTGGTGAGGAGTGTTTGCTGGTGGTACTGGTGAGATGATTGCTGGTGGTACTGGTGATAGTGGGTGCTGGTGTATGGTGATAGTGGGTGCTGGTGTACTGGAGAGTGGGTGCTGGTGGTACTGGTGAGAGTGATTGCTGGTGGTACTGGTGATAGTGGTTGCTGGTGGTAACTGGTGAAGTGGTGCTGGTGGTACTGGTGAGAGTGGTTGCTGGTGGTACTGGTGAGAGTGGTTGCTGGTGGTACTGGTGAAGTGGTTGCTGGTGGTACTGGTGATAGTGGGTTGCTGGTGGTACTGTAAGTGGTTGCTGGTGGTACTGGTGAAGAGTGGTTGCTGGTGGTACTGGTGATAGTGGTTTGCTGGTGGTACTGGTGATAGTGGTTGCTGTGGTACTGGTGATAGTGGTTGCTGGTGGTACTGGTGAAGTGGTTGCGGTGGTACTGGTGAAGTGGTTGCTGGTGGTACTGGTGATAGTGGTTGCTGGTGGTACTGGTGATAGTGGTTGCTGGTGGTACTGGTGAGAGTGGTTGCTGGTGGTACTGGTGAGAGTGATTGCTGGTGGTACTGGTGATAGTGGGTGCTGGTGGTACTGGTGAGAGTGGTTGCTGGTGGTACTGGTGATAGTGGTTGCTGGTGGTACTGGTGAGAGTGGTTGCTGGTGGTACTGGTGATAGTGGTTGCTGGTGGTACTGGTGAGAGTGGTTGCTGGTGGTACTGGTGAGAGTGATTGCTGGTGGTACTGGTGATAGTGGGTGCTGGTGGTACTGGTGATAGTGATTGCTGGTGGTACTGATGATAGTGGTTGCTGGTGGTACTGGTGATAGTGGTTGCTGGTGGTACTGATGATAGTGGTTGCTGGTGGTACTGATGATAGTGGTTGCTGGTGGTACTGATGATTGTGGTTGCCGGAGGGAAGGGGACGAGGACTGTGACTTACACAGTCGTACACATTCACTCCAACATTATATATGACAGTCATTACAGATAGACACGTACAGTCAACGCTTATATAAAGGCCATCAACTTTGAACAACCCCATAATAGATGTTATTCTATTCTGGATAAAGTTTTTCAGTACTATTTATAAGAATTACACTATATAGAGGACTTTATAAGAGAGGTGACTCACTAAGCGGTTTACGGCATTTTCTTGATCCGTTTCGCCCAGTCTGGAC